ATAGCCAGGATTACAGGCATGAGCCATTAGCACTGGCTTGAATATGACATCTTCTCAATCTTAAGTTTTGTGCAAATACACCCAGCCCCTCTGACAAACCACCCAGACAAATTACCTGGTTACTCTGGCACCCTGAATAAATTAATGAACACCTTTAGGTCTCAGTTTTCCCATCTCTAAAATAAGAATGTGACCTACAACCTAGCCTTGTTGTGAAAGTCAAGTGAGAAAAATGTGTATAAGGTATTTAGCACAGCGCCTGGCATACAGTTGGTACTTAATACATATTTATTATTTCCTTCTGTTGGAAAGAGCAACAGCGAGCTAAAGATAGAATCTAAGGCAATACACATCCATGGAACCCAGTCCTGGCTAACACCTTACCTTCTCCTTTTCTATCTCCCCAAATGAGCAAGTTAGCTCAGATCTTGACCCCTCTACAATCTTGAAGCCCTCCCCAGATGTCTAGGCTTTAGGTAGACTAAGAATGCTAGCTGGCCTTCTAGAGATCAGGAAAATGGATCCAGGAAGGCAGGGATGAGTGTCTGCCAGGTATGTATATGGTCTGGTTCCCGGATTCAATTCTAGGGCATCCCTGGGGCTTCTGTCCCAGGTTTGCGTCATCTGGACAGACAGGTTTTTACCATGGGCCATGTACCTTGGTGAGAAAGGAGGGGGATGGGCAGATGGGAAGGCACCCACTGAAGCCTGACCTGTTTTCAGGAAGGACCCACCCTCAGTCAGTCAGTTAAGCAGTCTGTCTCAGATTTAGGCCACCTAGGATTTGCACAGGGCGTCACCCTGTTACCCAGAACAACCTTCTGGCTAGGAGAATGGATCTTGGATCAAACATGCACCCAGTCACATACACTCACAGCATTCATACACATCCGAAGGTGCTGCCTCATAATCACAATCATATACACACAGACATAAATACACATACACAGTGACTGGAACATATAGCCAAGCCTTTGATCCTTTTGTCCCGTCTTTCCCAGTCCAAAGAGTACAGAAGAATTAAAGACATATTTGGAAACACAAACCAAAGATCCAATGCAGCCCCTAAAAAACAAAGTCAGTCTCAGAATCCCAGGCTTCAAGGAATCTGATTAGAAGTATGAACAATATGAATCTATAGTGCCTTGCTGAGCACTGTTTACTGAGTCTGGACTAAGCTGGGCTAAACTTGGCTATGGGGGGCATGATGTGGTATATGTGTGTATGTGTGTGTATAGAAGTAAACTGTAATATCTGACTAGCAAGAGGGGGAATGAGGTTGTGTTGAAGTGTATCCTTTATCCATCCTTCCATCCTTCCTCTCATTTCTTTCTTCCTTCCTCCCCCCCCCCCTTTTGCCAATACTAGGACTTGAACTCAGGTTCTAGTACTCTATCACTCAAGCCACAGCTCCACTTCTAACATTTTTTTTTGTTGTTGTTAATTGGAGATAAAAGTCTCTTTGGTCTTTCCTGCCTGCCTGGATTTGAATATCATCCTGGAATCTCAGCCTCTTGAGTAGCCAGGATTACAGTCCTGAGCCTCTGAAATTCAGATACCTTTTGTCTTTTTTGTTGTTGGGACTTGGTATCTGATGTTTTCACTCGCCGGGTGGTGTTCTATCACCTGAGCTAGGCCTCCAAACTTCACAACTCTTGTCTTTTTTTTTTTTTTTTTTGCCAGTCCTGTTGCTTGAACTCAGAGCATGGGCACTGTCCCTGAGCTCAAGGCTGGCACTCTACCACTTGATCCACAGTGCCATGTCCACCTTTTTCTGTTTATATGGTACTGAGGAATTGAACCCAGGCCTTTATGCATGCTAGGCAAGCACTCTACCACTAAGCAACATTCCCAGCCCCCAATTTTTTTGAGCTGGGTGTGGCAACACATATGTGTAATCCTAGTACCCAGGAAGTTTAAGTGGGCAGATTATTAGTTCGAAGCCATCCTGGGCTACCTACCTAGGGAGACCCTCTGTCTCAAAAAACAAAAAAGTTACCTCTTTGTTAAGGAGAGAAGGAACAGAACAGGGAGAGGGAGAAGAGAAAACCCCCCTCCTTGGCCTCATGTCTTCTAGCTTTTGCCTTTATACCACACAGACTGCAAAACAACACAGCCTCTTGCCAAGAATAGAGTTAGGCCGACTGGATTTCAGCTCTTGCTGCCTCTGCTCCCTCCTCCTTGCTGGATGCAAATTCAATGAGGAAATCTTGACCCCTGGCCTATCCCATATAGGAACAAACAACTAGCAAGCAGCCAGGAGTGGGCAGGACCACCACAGCAGCAAGTGTAGCAAGGAGCCTTAGGAGAACCCAGAGCAACTAAAAGGAGTGTACATTGTGTCAGTGGCAATGCCAAGGCTGGTAGGTAGTAAAAATCATGCCAGGGCCCTGATTTTAAGCAGCCTGACTGGTTTGGTCTGACAGAGTCAGGAAGGTCACAGAGAATAAGCAAGACAGAGCAGCTCACCTCCTAGCTCTCTTTCCACAGAAAAGTGGGTGGAGGTAAAAAGGGTGGAGACTGTGCTCTGGACCAAGTTTTCCTGAAAAGCCTCTTTCCTTGTTTGTGCTAACCACTCCCAGTTCCTCCTACGCTCTAGCACAACTTCCCAGCTCTGGGCCCACAGGCCAAGCCAGGCCAGGCCAGGGGAAAAAAAAAAGCCCACTTCCTTCTCCCTCCCACTTTTATTGGGGACAGAGAAACAAAGCTAAAATCTAGTCTATTTTAGGAAGCCCATTTTATTCCCAGCCTCAGAGGGTCTATGGTTAAGCCAGATGCCCAATCAACTTCACTGGCCTCCTCTTTTCCTTGGCTCCTTCCTTACTTTTTTTTCTCATCAGTCATGAGGCTTGAACTCTGGGCCTGTTTGCTGTCCCTCAGCTATTCAGCTCAAGGCAGGTGCTCTACCACTTGAGCCACAGTGCCACTTCCTGTTTTCTGGTGGTTTATTGGAAATAAGAGTCTCACGGTCTTTCCTGCTCGAGCTGGCTTTGAACTGTGATCCTCATATCTCAGCCTCCTGAGTAGCTAAGATTATAGGCATGAGCCACCGGTGTCTAGCTCCTTACCTTTTTGAATCTGTACTTCATTATGGTGTCCAGACTGGTCTCAAACTCCTGGGCTCAAGTGATTCTCCTATCTCAGCCTCCCAAGTAGATGGAACTATAGATACCTGCCACTGTGCCCCACCCCTAACCTTTTCTCTGTATCTGTCATGTTTCTTGGCCATTCATCAAGGCTTCCCTGGAGCTGCCTGTGAACAAGTGGAGAAGGGGTTCCTCCATGGAGGAAACCCATTCTAGAAGCACTGGTGAGGAGGAGGACTTGGCAGAAGCTGGAGCTGGCCTAAATTCATATGCTTTAGGAAACTCCCACTTCTCCTGCAACCCAAGACCTCTAGGAGGCCAGACCTCTACTTGAAACTTAGGGACCTGTTTTTTACCCCTGGGGCAATTGCTGCCCTTAAGGTAGATTCTAGATGTTTCTAGGCTCATGTTCAATGTTCCACTTGCTTATTTAGCCATCATATCTCTGAGAATAAGGTGATCCTCAGAGAGATGATACAAGCAATGGATGTCTGATCTTGAACCAGTCTAAGTTTTTCTTCCTTTTCTCTTCCTTCCTTCCTTCCTTTCTCTCTTTCTCCTTCCTTCCTAAAGTGGAATGCAGTGTGTGTGTGTGTGTGTGTGGGTGGGGTGGGGGGCAGTCAGGCACCTGTAATCCTAGCTATTCAGGAGGCTGAGATCTGAGGATCAAGGGCAGGCAGGAAAGTCCATAAGGTTCTTTTTTTTTTTTTTTTTTGGTCCAGTTGTGGGGCCTGAACTCTGGGCCTGGCTGCTGTCCCTCAGCTCTTCAGCTCAAGGCTAGCGCTCTACCACTTGAGCCACAGCACCACTTCCGGCTCTTTTCTTTTTGCTTATATGGTGCTGAGGAATCGAACCCAGGGCCTCATGCATGCAAGGCAAGCGCTCTATCACTGAGCCATACTTCCCAGCCTTCCATAAGGTTCTTATCTCCAATTAACCAGCAAAAGGCTGGATGTGGAGCTGTGGCTCATGTGGTAGAGTGCCAGCCTTGAGTGAAAAGCCAAGCATGAACACAAGGCTAAGTTCAAGCCCCAGTGCCAGCACCAAAGAAGGTGGGGGGGGGGGTGGGGAAGGAGGAGGAGGAGGAGAAGAAAGAGGAGGAGGAGAAGGATTAGGAGGAAGAAGAAAAAGAAGACTCAGGAGGATGTGGGAGGATTAAAATGAGCATTATATTTTCTTCTGTAGAACCTGCGGGAGCACCACTTGCCCCCAGACTTCTGCCTCACCTCTGCCCCATTACTTTAGGACTTCAAAGCACTTTCACCAAGAGGATCCCCTCTGCTGTCCTTTTTATTCCTCAGTGGGAAGTGACTCATCCCAAAGTCACCTTGAGTGGGTGGTGTGGTATCATACAAGCAAACAGGGAATCCCTAGGGACATCCCCACACCTTTGTGATACTCCTTTCCCTTGGGATATTCTCCCTAAGAGGAGTAGAAGGGAAAAAGGGGTCACATTGCCTTTCCATTTCAGACCTCGTCCCTGTACCAGAAGGCAGCTTGATCTCTTGACTCCAGGGAAATCTCCCTTCCCTCCTTGTCTCTCTCCCCGTGTCACTAGAAAACCTCCGGGTGAGGTCAGTCCTGCAATCACGTGAATCTCTCACGTTTGCAAGGTTTGCAGAAAGAGCCTGTTAGCTTTGATCTCCCAGGGAGCAGCCAAGCTTGCCAGTCCCTCCCCAGGAATTCACATGCCCTTGCCATACAGGCTTTCCAAACACGCCACCCAGTCTCTCCAGCGTACCCCACCCAACTCCACTTTCAGTAGCTCCTCCCAGCTGGCAACAAGAACTTCTGCGAGGCAATAGGGAAAAGATATGCAGCGCACCGCTTTTACCGGTGGACTACAAATCCCAACAGTCCTGGCTGTGCGCAGGCGCGCGGCGGCTCAACGTGCCGGGTGCTGGAAAAGTGTGTCACTGGGGCACGAGGCGCTCCCTGGGATCACATGGTACCTGCTCCAGTGCCGCGTGCGGCCCGGGAACCCTGGGCTGTTGGCGCCTGCGCAGAGCCCTCTGTCCCAGGGAAAGGCTCGGGCAAAAGGCGGCTGAGATAGGCAGAGTGAAATATTGCTGCCGAGGGAACGTAGCAGGGCACACGTCTCCTCTTCGCGCCTGGGTGCCCCGTTTCTCCCATCACCTACTTACTGCCTGATTGCAACTCTCTCCCTCTGGGACTTTTGCACCGGGAGCTCCAGATTCGCTATCCTGCAGTGCTGCGGAGCTTTCAGGCAGTACCAGCCGGTGCACTGCAGAGACCCGACCCTCCTTGATACCTTCTAGCCAGAGCTACTGCAGGCTGATTCCCCCCCGCCCCCCACCCCGACACTCCCTGCCCTTCCCATGCAAAGCAGATCTCCGTTGCCTCGGCGTCCTACCCTTCTGCAGAGCTGCAGTCCGGCCACCCCAAGACCTGGCTGCGGGGTGCCTCGAGTCCTGATCGTGAGCCGCGGGGTCCACTTGCCGCCCTCAGCCAGTGCCCAGGGGGCGAGAGCGACAGTCGCAACCTCCCGTTTGTGTCCAGGTCCAGTTTGAATGAGCACTCTCAGCCGGTGAAGACATGACGACCCTGGACTCCAACAACAACACAGGTACTAGACTCTTTTAATGATCATCCTCCTTGTTCTGTCACCGTCTCCCCTACTTCCGTGGCTTATAATGAGAGGAACTTCGCAAGGGACGGGGGATTCCCTCTGCCCCAGGGTTTGCGAGCGAGCCAAGTGGCCGGCCATAGGGTAGAATTTCCAGAGAAGGTTTGCCCCTGCTAGGGATTGGGCTCCCTGAAGCGCCCTAAAGCTCGCTCCTTTGAGCCTGAAGGACTCGAATTCCGGGCTGGAGGAAATAGAGCGCGGTACTAGCGGTGAGGGAGACAGAGGGTTTTGAACCAGTGCCCTGAAATGTCCCTATCTGACCATCTCCTGAAGCTGGGGGTATGCCGGATCTCAGAAGGAGGATCTCTTCCCTCGTTTCCCCTTTCTCTACTTCCGGCAGTCACCAGAAAATCTGAGAAGCAATGGGGGCAGGAAGGGCTGAGGGAATGGGTCGGATCTCACAAGGGAAATCCACAGTGACAGAGGGGACCCGCACTCAAGGAGTCCCGAACCGTGGTGCTTGGCCCCAGGCAGGGAACCTAGCTTGGGTAAGGCTCACATGGCCTGAGAACCGGGCCCACGTGCTGCATTTGTTTTCATTCAGCCGAAGCCGTGGCCGCCACCCCATTGGCTGTTGCCTCCCGGCCCCGTTACATAATGAGCTCCGCCCCTTGGTTACCCCGGCAACGCGTGTTCCCTTTTCTCCTCCCTTAGGTTGTCCCGGCCTCAGCTGGCGTTCTGGTCCCTGCCCCAGGACCTAGGACATCAGGGAGAGGCGGGGCAGGGGCGGGGCTGCTGCGGGAATGCTCGGAGTGGGCGGGTCCTTGAGTTCCGGGGTTCCTCGTTGGGGAGCCACGTGCGAGGGGCACACGTGGAGCAGGGACGTGAGGCCGGCTGAGGCCCGGGCTCCCCGCCCCGCCCTGCCAAGATCTGGGTGAAGCTGGGCTGACTCACCGCCCCCGCCGCCTGCCTGCCTCCTTTTCCTGTCTGCCTGCCCGTCCCCTTTCCCCACCAACATTGAGGCAGAGTAAGGTGAGGCCACCTCTGACCTCCCCTGGCCTCGTTTATGCTCCCAAAAGGGACCTCACACCCAATCACTGTTTTCTCTTTTATTCCATTTGTACTTGGCTGGACTGTGTTTAGACCCAGCTCCATCAAATTCCCCCAGCAGCTCTCTTCCACTCCTACCTCTCCCAAACAGCTGTATTACAAAATCATAGCTGAAATACTGCTTTTCATCTCTCTCTTTCTCTCTCACAGAAAGGAAAACAAGCCCAGAAAAAGGGGAATTGGTTTCCTCTGGGTCAGAAAGCAAATTTGGTAGTAATAGATTTGGAAGTAACTAGGCTGTCTTGAGTGAGCCCCTGGCTTTGAAAGTCAGAAGTGTCTTTGGGTGATGGTCTCACTCCCCTTTTGGAGATGGGTAAACTAGGTCAAGTTCATTTACCACCAAATAAATATCCCATCCTCCACTTCAGTCCTGAAACTGTAGGAGTGCATGTGTTGTGAAACTATTTTATAGGGAGCTGGGTTCACCCTGACCAACCTTGAGCTATTTTAAGACTGCCCTGCCCAGTTTAGTGTGTGTCAGTGGGTGAGCAAGACATGTGCCTCCGTAAACATGGTGGCATGGCATGTGTCAGCTCACACGTGTCCTGGGATCCTCCCTTCTCCTACCCCCACCCATGACACACCAAGCTAGGTTCTTGGCAAGAGGTGTGGCCAGTAGGTCACCCTTTTCTCCTACAAATACCATGGGAACTGAGCCACCTGGTTAACAATGTAATCAAAGGGCCAAAGTCCCTAAGTGATCAGAGAACTAAAGTTATCATCAAATTTATATCTGGAAGGGGGAATTCCAGAGCACTAGGCTGGACAATTTGTACTTCTCTCCCACCTCCTTCAACTCATACCTGTGAAGTCTTTCCTGGATTCAGAGATAGTACAGTGACTCATGTTTTGCAGGCCAGAGGAGCCAGGCTGGGCCAGTTTCTTTCCTGTACTACCTTTTACAAATGGTCCCCAGTTTGGTGAAAATGTGTGACTGTCTTACTTTTGTAAGATCTCTGTTCTCTTGGATATTAGCTAGCTACCCCTCACAAATCCATGGTTTTGTAGTATTAACATTGGCAGCTAGCCTTTTGTTTTCGAGAGAGTACAAATGAATTAGCTGCTCATCTAATCCTCATTTCTGCCACCTGCAACTAGTTGTAGTGGATATATCCTAGGAAAGTGTCTGCAGCAGGGGGAGTCACATGTGTGAGATGCCCAGGGGGATCATGCCTCACACACAAAATGGAGTTGAAATTGTGGGTACAAAGAAGGGGTTATGGGTGTCAGTTGGCTATACTATGTCTAGCATGTCTTGGGGAGTTTCTTGTGACGAGATTATGTCATATCTAGTATGCATTGGTGAGTTGCTTATTAGCTGTAAGGTTAGAGATTCCAAAGAGTTAACTTGAAGAGGAACAGTGTTATAGGGATAAGCAAGGTGGTGTCCTGGGACTGACATGTCAGCTGATCCTACTTCTTTTGTGTTTTCCTGCCAGGTGGCGTCATCACCTACATTGGCTCCAGTGGCTCTTCCCCGAGCCGCACCAGCCCAGAGTCCCTCTACAGTGACAACTCCAATGGCAGCTTCCAGTCCCTAACGCAAGGTTGCCCTGCCTACTTCCCACCATCACCCACTGGCTCCCTCACCCAGGACCCAGCTCGCTCCTTTGGGAGCATTCCACCCAGTCTCAGTGATGATGGCTCCCCTTCTTCATCTTCCTCCTCCTCCTCTTCCTCCTCTTCCTTCTATAATGGGAGTCCCCCAGGGAATCTACAAGTGGCCATGGAGGACAGCAGCCGAGTGTCCCCGAGCAAGAGCACCAGCAATATCACCAGTGAGTGAACGTCCACCTGACTGGGGGAAGGGAAGCAGGCCAGGGGGCTCAGTGGGGAGTTGGTTTTCATGTAAGTTATTCTTAGGACCTGTCTAGTCTCAGTCTTCTCCTTGGGTTCTACTAGCTTGTCCAATCCAGGCTGGTACCTGAGTGCCCCTAGACATGAGCTTTTCTTTCTAGAATCTTCAGCCAAGAAAGCCTCAGACCATTCGGGCCGCTGCTTATCCGCTGCTTATATCTTTCCACAGAGTTGAATGGCATGGTGCTACTGTGCAAAGTGTGTGGGGACGTGGCTTCTGGCTTCCACTATGGTGTGCATGCCTGTGAGGGCTGCAAGGTGAGGTGGGCTTGAGGGTGAGGGCAGGGGAAAGGGAACCTCTTCCCCTAGTTACACCCCTAGTTATACCCAGACCCAGCCTACATGAAAATGCTTACTAGTTGCCCCGGCCCTGCAGGGCTTTTTCCGTAGGAGCATCCAGCAGAACATCCAGTATAAAAGATGTCTGAAAAATGAGAACTGTTCCATTGTCCGCATCAACCGCAACCGCTGCCAGCAATGTCGCTTCAAGAAGTGTCTCTCCGTGGGCATGTCTCGAGATGGTGAGGCAGCAGCTCCACATCCTCCCCCTTCCTTCCACCCAAAGTTTCTCACTTAATTCTTCCCTTTAAAAAAGTAGTTTCAAGCCAGGCGCCAGTGGCTCATGCCTGTAATCCTAGCTACTCAGGAGGCTGAGATCTGAGAATTGCTGTTCAAAGCCATCCTGGGCAGTAAAGCCCATGACACTCTTATCTCCAATTAACTACCAGAAAACTGGAAGTGGCACTGTGGCTCAAGTGGTAGAAAGCTTGCCTTGAGCTGAAGAGCTGAGGGATAGTGCCCAGGCCGAGTTCAAGCCCCATGACCACCACCACCAACAAAAAGTAGTTCCAAACTTGGGGAGTGGGAAACAGTAGCTCAAACCTGTAAACCTAGCTACTCAGGAAACTAAACTAAATCAGAGGATCACCCAATCACCAGTCCAAGCCAGTCTGGGCAGGAAAGTCTGAGAGACGCTTATCTCCAATGAAATTAACCAGCAAAAAGCCGGAAGTGAAGCTGTGGCTCAAGTGGTAGAGTGCCAACTCGACTGAAAAAGCTAAGGGACAGTGCCCAGGCCTAGTTCAAGCCCTAGTACCAACACACACACACACACACACACACACACACACACACACAAATTCTTCTAAGACACTTTACACCAAGAATCTCATTTGCATAGAGGAAGCTAGTGTTATCTTCTTGAGTAAACACATATTCCTTTCCCATTGGTTCCTCTGGTCACCACCTACCAGAATACCTACTGGGAAAATACCCTTGAAGGAGTGTCCTTGCTGGCTTTCGTTTTCACGTGGAACCCCAGACCTTCAGGGTCTTGCTCTTTTAGGAGGAAGAGATGCATCTGTGTGTGAGAACTTCCTGACCCAGCTCTCTTATCCTGTTACAGCTGTACGTTTTGGGCGTATCCCCAAACGAGAGAAGCAGCGGATGCTCGCTGAGATGCAGAGTGCCATGAACCTGGCCAACAACCAGCTGAGCAGCCAGTGCCCCTTGGAGACCTCGTCGACCCAGCACCCCACCTCAGGCCCTATGGGCCCCTCACCACCTCCTGCTCCAGCCCCCTCACCCTTGGTGGGCTTTTCTCAGTTCCCACAGCAGCTCACACCACCCAGATCCCCCAGCCCTGAGCCCACCATGGAGGATGTGATATCCCAGGTGGCCAGGGCCCATCGAGAGATCTTCACTTATGCCCATGACAAACTGGGCACTTCACCTAGCAACTTCAATGCCAACCATACATCTGGAAGCCCTGCAGCCACCACCCCACACCGCTGGGAGAGTCCTGGCTGCCCTCCTGCTCCCAATGACAATAACACCTTGGCTGCCCAGCGTCATAATGAGGCTTTGAACGGTCTACACCAGGGCCCCTCCTCCTACCCTCCTGCCTGGCCCCCTGGCCCTACCCACCATAGCTGCCACCAGCCCAACAGCAATGGGCACCGGCTATGCCCCACACACATGTACTCGGCTCCAGAAGGCGAGGCACCTGCCAATGGTCCAAGACAAAGCAACTCCAAGAACGTTCTGCTGGTGAGGGCACAGAGCAGCTGTGGAGGGCAGGGGTCATAGAGGGACTTAGGCGAAGGCAGTTGGGTATTCCCTGGAGGCTGAAGGTACCTTCTAAGAGAGGATTTCCTGACCTGCAGTCTAGGCTCTGCCTGGGAATCCCTGATTGCCATCCAGCACCCGATTGCTGTTTTACATGAAAGGACCTTCCCCCAAAGGCCACAAAGTCTAGCCCAGGGAAAAACCTGGAACCCTGTCTTGCAGGGCAGCCCATTCAAGCCAATCTGGCTGATTCTTCCCTCTCCGTGTCCCTTCCTTCCCCAGGCTTGTCCCATGAATATGTATCCCCACGGACGCAGCGGCCGGACTGTGCAGGAAATCTGGGAGGACTTTTCTATGAGCTTCACACCTGCTGTGCGGGAGGTGGTAGAATTTGCAAAGCACATCCCTGGCTTCCGTGACCTTTCTCAGCATGACCAGGTCACCTTGCTTAAGGCTGGCACTTTTGAGGTGAGTGACCCTTTTTCATTCCCTGCTTTTGCCCTTGAGAAGAAGCGCATGGTATCCGGGGTGGGCAGGGGGTTCTTTGGGCTTACGAAACTCCAGTATCTGAGGGAGGGGGCCAGAACCCCTCCCATTCCCACCTCCGGGTGGCTAAGACTCTGTCATCTTAGTTGGCATCTAATCACTACCCATTACATGAAAATAATATTATGGCGCATTGCCATTTTCCTTCCAGATGTGAACAAGTAAACTTTGGGGAAGAATCCACTCCAGATTCCCACCCTCCCCCACACTACCCACTCAGAAACAACTTCCCTACTGAGAAATCAACAGCAGTGCCCTTGAATCCTTTGGCAACCAACCTTGAGGCGTAATTTGGCAAAGTGCTCTTCCCACCTCACCCAGTCTGACTATCGCCCCGATTCAGGTGCTAATGGTGCGCTTTGCATCGTTGTTCAACGTGAAGGACCAGACAGTGATGTTCCTGAGCCGCACCACCTACAGCCTGCAGGAGCTGGGCGCCATGGGCATGGGAGACCTGCTCAATGCCATGTTTGACTTCAGCGAGAAGCTCAACTCCCTGGCGCTGACCGAGGAGGAGCTAGGCCTCTTCACGGCGGTGGTGCTCGTATCTGCAGGTAGGTTCAAGCTCTCGCCTGACCCGGGAGGAGGCAGACGCGGTTGGATTCAACATACCTTTTATGGAGTACCTACTCTATGCCAGGCCCTGCACCAGGCACTGGGGATACAGACATGATTCAGACACAGTCTAGCTTGGGAAAACAGACTCATGCCTGACTAATAATAAAACAGTGAGATAAGTGTCACATTAGAAGCATGAACCAAGGAAGCACAGACAAAACTATTTCTGCCTGGGGGAGCTGGGGGAAGGAGGTGACACTTGAGTGGGGCCTCAAAGGGACAAGTAAGATGTTGCCAGGCTTAGAATTGGGGGGGGGGGGGGGAAGGGAGGGAGGGCATCCCAGGCAGCGGGAACTACAGAGCAAATAGCAAGGGAGCCTGGTCACATGTGGCCTGTTGAGGGGAGGAGCATGGTCTTGGGGGGATGGGAGGTGGCCAGCCTGTGGCCCTGGCTCCCAGCATTGGGGCAGAGGCCTGGGAGAAGGAGTAGCACCCTCCTTCTCCTTCCCCGTGGGCCCTCCGAGGGGCTTCAGGGAGAGGCTGCCTTGCCTGCCACGTCCTTGCACACCTCCGGGTCCTCGTCAGAGGAGCTCAAGGAGCCTGCCTCACTGCTGTCGTCTTCCTCCCCACAGACCGCTCGGGCATGGAGAATTCCGCTTCGGTGGAGCAGCTCCAGGAGACGCTGCTGCGGGCTCTTCGGGCTCTGGTGCTGAAGAACCGGCCCTCGGAGACTTCCCGCTTCACCAAGCTGCTGCTCAAGCTGCCGGACCTGCGGACCCTGAACAACATGCATTCCGAGAAGCTGCTGTCCTTCCGGGTGGACGCCCAGTGACCCGCCCGGCCGGCCTTCTGCCGCTGCCCCCTTGTACAGAATCGAACTCTGCACTTCTCTCTCCTTTACGAGACGAAAAGGAAAAGCAAACCAGAATCTTATTTATATTGTTATAAAATATTCCAAGATGAGCCTCTGGCCCCCTGAGCCTTCTTGTAAATAGCCTGCTTCCCCTCCCTCCCCATCACTGTGCTTTTCCCATCCTCCCCTATTTAAACCACTCTCACTTTCCCTCCTGCCTCTGCCCCCTTCCCCCTCCCCCACTTGTTCTGTTCCTGTCTCAAATCCAATAGTTTACAGCTAAGCTGGCTTCTGTGGTGTGTGCTCGTTTGGAGGGTGGGGGTGGAGGGGACTGTTGCCAAGGCTGGGAGGGGGGCATCTCTCCATCTGGTCAGCTTGTGGGGAGGGTACTCTGCCAACAGATGGGAGGAATATAGGGAAACAGCACACAAGTCTAAGGGGGGAGTGCCCAAGGGGGTTATTTTCATCATATATTTATTACATAAATATATAGTAAAATAGACGAGCAACAATTACCATAAAAATATCTTTCTTTAAAATCCTGACCCAAAACACAACGGGGTGAAAAATCGCACATAACAGACATACTGATTGTCAACGTGGGGCAGGAGTAGGAGCCCCTGCAAGTCACCCCTACCGGTCCCACCCCTCCCTGGGGAAGGGACCTACCTCCTTCCCTGTTTCTGGCCACAACCCTCCCTCCCCCCACCCCAGCACCAGCTTCTCATACATTCAGTAGCGCCTCTGGGCAGTGTCTCCCTCCCCCACCCAGGAGTTCCCAGGGCAGCAAGTACTGTCCCCCTTATGGACGGTGTCTGTGTCACGCGCCCTGCCCTCTCCCAGCCCTGCAGACCCACCCCCCCCAGGAAGGGGCAGGGGCTCCTCCTCCCCCACCCTCCCCAAGTCTGAGCAGGGAGGAGGCTGGATGAGGTATGTGTGTTATAAGTGATGGGAGGGGAAATACTGAGATGGAGAGGTGAGGCGGGTGGGGGTAGGGTAGTGGTCATGGCTCTGGCACCCCCTTGTCCTGGCCTGGCTCCCTCAACCTATTCCCAGCAACCCATCCTCCCACCAATACTGCACCTGCTGCCTCACCCTGCCTGCCCTAGTGCCCCGGGCCAACACTGGGGGAGGCATGCTAAGCACCCACACCAAGGCCGTCCCCCCATTAGCACCAATGGCCCCCAGGAGAGGGCCCTGTCCCTCACTTCCACAGCAGGGACTGGGACAGCTGCCTCTAGAGCAGGTACGTGGCACTCCTGAGTCTCCCTGGCTCCTCCCCTACCACATGTACTCACTCAAACATTCACACAGAGAAACATGTGCGCGTGCGCGCACATACACACACACACACACACACACACACACACACACACACACACACACACACACACACACACACACACACACACACACACACACCATGTCACCAAAAGGACGGGGAGAAGCCAAAAGGGAGGGGGATCACAGCTCATATGACTGGGGAGGGAAGGGGGATTCCAAGTGCTTGTAAGAGAAGAGACCAAGTATATGGCTAAGAATGGGGCTGGATGGGCAGAACTGGGTCTGTGGGAAGGGGAGAGACAGCAGGCAGGTCAGGAACTCCACTGGGCTCCCAGGCATAGAAGGAAGGTGTGACAGGATTTACCCATGGGACTGGAGGAATACAGGAACCAGTATCCCAGGAGAGAGAGAGAAAGAGAGACAGAGAGAGATGGCAGGAGGGAAGAGAAGGAGCAAAGGAAGGATAGAGACAAAAATAGTAGATAGTGCAGAAGGCCCAGGACCCCCAGAGGCACAGGGCAGGCATATGCACAGGTGACAGTGGATGCTCCTTCAGGCCCTCTACCCAGTGGGAACACCTGAACAGTGAGGGGACACTGCCCTGAGTGGCAGCACAGCATTGCCTCTGTGGTGTGTGTGTGTGTGTGTGTGTGTGTGTTGTGTGTGTGTGTGTAGGGGGCTGTGGCAGGCTGAGGGTCAGAGTGGGGTGGCAGGCTTCCCCACTGCTTAAGACATTTTTGCCCCAATAGTGCAAAGCGCAGGAAGCCCTGGCACCCCTCGCTCACCCCCTGCCCCATTCCCCATGGCTTCCGGGGGGGCATCAATGTCCACCCATCCATCCCTGCCGACATGCAGCCCTGAGCCCAGGGCCCTCTGGTCTGTTCTGTCCCTCCTCCTTCCCTCCCTCTCACCCATGGAAGGGCTGAATCCCTCTCCTTCTCTCCCCTGAGAAGTAGGCTGTAGCCAACATGGGGAGGAAGAGGACGAGGAGGAGGATGGTAGTTCCCCCAAAGTACAGACCAACAGAGCACTCCTTCCCAGAGGGCGGGAGGTGGCTCAAGCCAAAGTCCCTGAATTAGAGAGAAGGGAAAGGAGTCCCAGGGGCAAAAGGGCAGCCAGCCTGAAGAGCTTCAAAGAAAACAGGAGGAGCACTAGCTGCCTCCTCCTCTGGAGCTTCAACTAAGTGCCACTCATGGAAACATCCCCATTCTGTACCCATCCACCTGAGTCTAGGTTGGATGCATTGAGTGGGGGTAGAGAACAAGGAGGGCAGAAGTCAGAGGGAGCTGAGAAGACAGACAGGAAACAGGGGAACAGTTCTACAGGAGTAGAGGCTCTGGGAGATGCTCACACACAACTCCCTCCCCCACCACAGCAGCATCTGGATTGTAGCTAATACTGCAGGATACGAGGAGGGAAGGAGCGTGGGCCACAGTTTTTCCTGTGTGGGTGCCAAGGTGCAAGAGGAGGGGGACCAGGAAGGCCCCTGGGGCTGGGCACTTGAAAGGGGAGCTGTGTGGGCAGCAGGGCAGGCTGGTGAGGGGCCAGCTGGCATCCAGCGTGAGAGGTAGATGGAACTCAGCGGGCACGAGTGGCAAAGGACAGAGGAAGTTCTAGGGTTAGGGGTGCCAAAGGGGCACAAGGGCGGGGGGCAAGGCAAGGGGGTGCCAGGACCCTGTTGTGTCAACTCACAGCTCTGATCGGCAGCCCTACCCTTGGGGGGTCTGCTGGGGGGGCATTTTTTTTTAAACTCTGATCTGGGGGGAGAAAGGGCAGCTCTCAAAGTGCATGGGGGTGGGAAGTGGGGTCCTTCCCCTCGGGCCAGCCTCAGCTAATAACTTAATATCATGTCTCTCTCTCTCTCTATTGCTCTCTCTCTATTTTTTTTCTTTTTCTTTTTTTTTTTTCCTTATCCTCTGTCTAGTTTTTCTTCATTTTATCTTCTCCCCTTGCTTGGTTTCCAAAGTGCAGTTAGGATGACTTATTGTTTTTAGCCTCCAGGGGAGGAGCCAAGCCAAGGTGTCCTTTGCCATCCAGGCATCTGGGGAAATAGAGGCCCTTTGCCTGGAGGGGAAATCTAGGCCAAGGAACTGGGTTGGGGGCTCTCTTGTATATGTGTAGGGGGCTGGGTGGGGACATCTGCCCCCAACCCTCATTTCTCCTTTCCCTACAGTCAAGATGGCCTGTTCCTCTGTTCTCCCTTCCCCTACCTTCTTAGAGGATGGGGTTCTGGGAACTGCAAGACACGGGACCCAGCCTCCCATACTGTCCTCATAGCAAGTTCATTTGTTTTGCCCTGTCTCAGGGCTGTGGAGGTTCTGAGGGGGATCTGGGCAGTGCAGGGGTTATGTGGGAGCTGCATCTATCCAAGGATGGGAGGAAGGAGAGAAGAGGTGGGAGGTCTCTCTCAGTCCCCAGCTCTACCCCTTCTCTCCAGACTCCTCCCCACCAGCTCCGCACACCCTCTGGCCGCCTGAGGCTTTAGACTTCCTGATCCTCAAAGACCTCGAGGAAGAGTGGGGGGAAGAGTTCGGTGGGGCACTCGACTTTCATGTGGAGGAAGCGGCTGGCGTGGCAGGCCCCGATCATGCGGAGGTCAGTCACCTTCATCAGCAGCTTGGGCCAGAAGTGCGGAATGTTGTGTTTGCGGTGGTTCACGTAGTGCTCGAACGCCAGCAGGTACGCCTCCTGACTCTTCTCGATCTTGTCCACACACAGCAGGCCCGAGCGGTCTGTAGGGAGGGAAGGCAGGATGAGTGAGTGGCAGAGGCCTGGGAGAGACAATGGGTAAAATGCAGGGGAGGATACAAGAAAGGGACAAGGTGGTAGTCTGAGGCTAGGAGAGAATATGGGAGGAAAACGACACCAAGGGACCTGTATAGGGGTGACCCCCTTGCTGAGGATCAGATGGGGCATTAAAGAAACAGAGGGACTGGAGTAACACATAAAGAGGACAGAGGAACCAGAAGGTGGAGCCAAGAGGACTAGGGGAAAAACAAGTGCTGATGGTGGTCAGAGAGGTGGGGTAGAAATGGGGGTAGAGAGGGGATTGAGGGACAAAAGATAGGACTTAGAGACATAAGGGAAAGACAACAGAAAGTGGATAGGAACAAAGTGGGGCGTGTAAGTGACAGGATGAAGGACAGAGAAAGAACGGTCAGAGGCAGGATAAAGAACAAAGCAAGGACCGGGAGCTGGTGGCTCTCTAATCCTAGCTACTTAGGAGCCTGAGATCTGAGGATCAAGGTTCAAAAAGCCAGCTTGGAGAGAAAGGTTTATGCAACTCTTATCTCCAGTTAACCATATACACACACACACAAAAAGTGGAGTTGTGGCTCAAGTCATAGAGCACTGGCCTTGAATGGAAAAAGCTAAGTGGCTCAAATGGGACAGACACTTGCTTTGAAGGAAGAAAATCTATGGGATTGTGTCCAGGCCCTGAGTTCAAGCACCAGGACCAACATCTCACACACACACACACACACACACACACACACACACACACACACACTAACCCCCCCAAAAAAAACAAAAAGAAAGAGGCTGGGAGGTCAGTGATGGACACGAGGACCAGAGGTGGGGGTATGGTGGGCTGGGCTGGGGAATGAATGACAGCAGAGGATTGGACAGCTCGGAGGACACAGAGATAGCTGGGGGAGTATAGAGGATAAAGGAAGAGGGAGAACAACAAGCCTGGGGTCCAGCTAAGCTCCGGGCCCCCGAGGGCTTCTAGGCCCTCCCAGAACTAGCAGGTACCTGTTGACATTAGCAGCACAGCCTGCAGCAGAGCCACTTCCGTGTCATCCAGGTTAAAGGCAGAGAGTGA